AAAGAGTAAAAACATAAATGTAGTCTTAGGATATCTCTGAGAAATTTTATTTTTCTTAAGGTAAGGGGGAGGAGACCTTTATCCTTTTAAATTTTATATACTATTATGTTTATTTATTTTATGTTATATTTATGTGTATTTACTTAGTGAGGTGTTTCTAACCTCATTTATTTACTTAATTTATGATACTTTTTACTCTAAATAATTAATAAAGTGTTGCTAGTTAATGTTATTTAATTATTTTATGATGTTTATCACTGTCATTTACTTGATTTATATTCTTTAATACATTACATTTACGTAAACTATATTATATTAAATTTTAAATAATTAAAAATACTCAAACTTATTTAGCTTAATTATTTTTATATTAATATTAACTATAATATAGTTTTGTTAAAATATCCTAAGCTCACCTTGTTGTTGTTTCTTCATACATTATAAAGATAAATGTTATTTTATGGTCATAGGGAATAAAGTTTGAATTAATTTATAGTTGGAGGTTTGACCTTGGGAATTTAAATGTGTAACGACCCGCCGTGGTCTCTACACTTAATGGAATCGCACTAAATGGAAACTAAGATAATTAATAAAATTGGATAACTCATAAATACAAAACATGAACAAATATATATAAAATAATAAAGTTTTTAAGTATTAGTATTTATACAGTTATCCAAATTACTATCTCCTAGTGCTGGTCAAGCACCAAATTGTTACTCAAGATGGAAACTCTGACACTAGGTACCAAAAAAATCCACTTCTAGCAGCAGTCAACAGCTCCAACCTAGCCATGATCTGCTCCCATACACCGTATGATCATAGCAGTCCATCCACATGGAAACAGAAGGGTAAGCTAGAATTCAATAAACAACCATAAAAGTATAGGAAAAAAAACACTATACTACCTTTCAAGTGCTCTTCTGGGTCGGATGATCCGTCGTACTTCTTGATCGGCATGCTCTTCCAATGGTCCAGCAGTGTTGCCTCCATTATTCTTCTGGAAAAAGGATGCCTTAGGGAGTGAACGGTGGTGTCGGCCTTGTTGGCTATCAAAGAAGTGACTGGGGTTCGGGTGACCTGGTCTGTTGGGGCGTGATAGGCGGACTCTTCCA